CGTCCATATATAATATATGATTTAACTGGAGAAAGGTTTGTGATAAAACAATTTACAACCAAATGTGAAAAGGAATTTTTTGTGAACCAAAAAAGGAGTGAATTAAATTATCCAAAACTTGTGACTAAACGACTGTTATTAACGTAACAAAAACCTAGTGCTTCATTACCTCTTTTTGTTAATAGACCAAGATATTTAATGACTAATAAAAATAAAATTTGAAAACATCTCCTTCTAAAGCAATAGTATTGCCAATTACATTTTTTGGTTATAAACACCCTTCTTCAACGACTTGTAATTGAAAATTTAAGAAAATTACCAAGCTTCAATGTGTTGATGTCTAAAATGATAACTTCTACATAAAGAATAATCATTATATTAGTACATATGTTGATGACATTTACTTTCTTCTTCTCTTTTTTTCCTAACAATAATGTCATATATTCCGAACCCAAAAGTAAATAATCGTTTTGTTTTTAGTCCAGTCAAATAAAATATATATTGTTAGTTAGTGATATTCAATTTATTAAATTATGTTTTATTAATGGTTTGAATAATGAACAAAAAAGATTGAGTGTCATTGATGTAAGATTCTTCCGTAGAGATGCTTTGATAAATAAATCCACTAACTTTATTTTTATTAGTATCTATAATGATAAATGCAAGATTATTATGACTCAATATTTTTTCATTAAAAATACAATTTCCTTTAATCCATTCATTTTTGTCATTTCAAATCTGACTTGGTTAAACCTGAAAGAAGCATGAAGAAGTCATCTCTTAGATTAGTTTCTTTATATTACCTTGACTCATACTCTGTTTACTTAAAGGTATAATATTAATATTATCATTATCAAAGTTATGTCTCAAAATGTTTTCTTCTATTTTCTTAAGGTTATTATTTCTTTTGAATATAAAAGTAAGATATTTATAAAGTGAAATTGTATTATCTCTATTTTTCTTTTTATTTTCCTCAAGTTTTTTCTATTTTGATTTCATTCTGTTTCTTTATAGATTCATACTTGAATTTTTCTTCATTTAATTTCTTTTACATTTCTGTAATTATGTTGACTTTGCTCTCTCTTTTTTAATTCATTAATCGTTTCAAGTTTTTTTATTCATCATATATTCCTTATTTTTCATTCATTCTGGGTCAATTAACTCAACAATTTTTAATGTCTTTTCAAAGTTGTCAACAATTCTTTTCTTTTTTGATTATATCTAGTGTACTGAATCTTCTTCTTATTATTATAATATTTCAATACTCTTACTTTAATACTTTAATTACAATGGAATTTATTGCGTTTTAGTATGATGTATTAATACATCTTGATAGTTCATAGAATTTCACTGTATTTGATAATGACTGTAATTGGCAAGTATAAAGTATTAATTGGTTAATTCCTGTCTGAATATTTGTAGTCATTATATATTTTGAATACTGGGTTATAAAACATTATTAAAAAAAATTATTTTCAATTCGGTTTTAAGACAATGAATCACTTCTCTGTTATTTAAGTAAGAATGATAATTCTCTTCATCCACAACCTTCCAAAACTTCCTGTTGTGACTATTTTTTATTTCTCTATTCACAAAAATAATTACCTCAGGATTTATTAAATAGCCTTTTAACAAAAATAAATTTCAATTAATAATTGAAAAAAACAAAAGATTATATTGTATTTCTTAGAAATGTAAAAGATACAAAAATTAAAAATATGTGAAAAAAATCTTAAGAACTAAAAAGCGTGGTTTATGGTTGTTATCCTCGAAGAATCATTTATTAAAGAAGTCCTTCAATACATCAACCTCAAAAGAGATCTTATTACATTTCAATTTGTCAATAAAAAAATAATGAGATTGTACAAAACTATTTTATCAAATCCTGTGATTGATATGTCAACCGTTCCAAGTCCTATTGATTATTATTCTTTAGCAAGATCCCTTTTTCCTAAAATCATTCATTTCAGGTGTCCTTTTGACTTTTCACTTTTAAATGATAATGAAATTACAAAATTCAATAAGTGTTCTATCACTCATGGCAATTTTGATGCAGAAACAATTTCAAGTCCTAAAATGGTTGGAAGAGGAGTTATTCTTCAAAATTTTAAACGACCAATGCCTTTACTTGAAATAATCAAACAACCATTCAATTCAAAAAGTCTTATTGAATTTATCCAAAACGTCTCAAATTTTCCTTCATTACAATACATTCAACTAATTATTGGACATGATTTAATGACTGATGAAAAGACACTCATAAGTTCTATTATTACCTTACTAAATACTATTCAAAGTGTTAAAATTTGTATCTGTTACGAAATTAAAAATAACTCAGACTTTACAAAAATTGAACTTATTCGGAAATCTCTTCCTGTTTGCATTAATCATGTGTATAATCATGTTATTACCTTACCTGATAAATTTATTGAAGGAAAAGAAAGTGAAGAAGAAATTTTACAATATAAATTTATTATCCCAATAATTCCAAAATTACAGGCAAATCATTTTATTAACTTTTTAGAAAATGATAAAGTGGCAAAAGAATATATAAAATATTTTTATCCACTTGAAATAAAAGGACATCTATATGATTTAAATCTTGAACATTTAACAACAATCACAAAAGTTATAACTGACAATCCAGGATTTAAATTAAAATTACCTATCAGTTGTACTTGTTTCGAAGACTTAAGTGATTCTTTAACTCCTGGGAATGAAAGAATAATTGAAAATATTTCAAATTTAAAAATTAAAAAAATGACTACAAGTGATATTCAATTAATTCCATTAAATGTTGAAGAATTAGAAATTCCATTTTCAACAATATTACACTGCCCTTCTTCATTAACAAAATTAGTTCTTTATCAAATAGATAAAAAAGATGACATTGTGTTTAATACTCAATTAAAGGCGTTATCAATAGGAGAATATCCAAAAACATTTAGTATTCCAACTACCCTCACATCTCTTACTATTTCATCTATCAAAAACCAACTTGCAGAAGGAATTCAAAACTTAGAAATTGGAAAATTAAAGAAATCTGAATGCAACTTCATTCCACAAAGTGTTACTGCACTGACAGTACTGTGTGGAACAACATTTGATCTTACCAATCACCCAAATATTAAATCAATGAATGTTAGAATTACAATTGCTAATTCTATATTCAAGGCATCAAATTTCCTTGTTAATGAGAACTTAGAATTCTTATCCCTTTACATAGCTGGTAAAATAACGAAGAAAAAGAGACCAACATTTATTGCGGATGTAAAGAAATTTTATTCTCATGTTAAGAATGTTGTTATTGACACAGACTTTAACCAAATAATGGTCAATTAATCAGGTATTTTTTTTTGTTTGTATCACTTAATTTTATATTCCTAAAATAAATAAAACTATTAGTAATTTCAATGAATTAACAAAAGAATGAATTGTTAATGTATTGAAAAATATGGAAATAAACGGGAGAAAAAGAACTATAAAATCTAAGAAAAAGAGAAAAAATAAAGATTTTGAGATGAAAAAAGTGAAAAAAATCTTGAAATCGAAAAGTCAAGGAGAAAATGACAGGAGAATCACAACTAATTTCAACGTCTTTCAATGAAAATACAGCTGTCTTAAACATGTCATCACAAACAATCTTTCGGCACGTACCTTTCTCAATCGAATTTTCTGCACCACCACTTTGGTTATCACAAAATTCTATTCGACCGGAAGATATTTTATATGCAGGACTAAGGATGCGAGTATTGAAAGTAAGGACTACTGATGAAGTCAAAGAATGTACTATTTGTTCTAAAGGAAGAAAAGTTATTGAAGTTGGTGTTTCAAGCAATCAAAAATTTCTTGAAGGAAAAATTGTTAATGGAAGACAAGTATTTACATTTGATAGATGTAGGTCAAATTGTTCTAGTTCCAGAAATCATCACAAAGACCAATTATTTTTATCATTAGACCTTAATAATACATTGTCTATTTCATCACAACCATTTTCTATTCGTTCAAGAGTTCTCACACCAAAAAGTAAAGATAAAAATGAAAAACCAGTTTCAAAGAAAGTAGGTTTGTTTCATAATTTTTTTTAAATAAAAAGAAATATAATTTGTTGTTCATTTTATAGACCAAAAGGTATTAGTTGTTTGTGTTGAAGGAGAACAATTAAATTTAATTGAACAAATTAAAAATGCACTTACCAATGAACCAGCAGAATCATGTAAAGCTGTTATAAAGAAATATATCGATGTAGCTATAATTTATATTCATGTAAATGAAGACATTGCTGACTCAATTCAAACAAAAATAAATGAAATAACAAATTCTGTTCCAGAAGCAGAAAAACAATCTGCGTTTGTGATGTCTTCATTACAGTAAATAGTGTTAGTTGAATTGAACAGTAAAGTTTTAAATTATTAATAATTTTATTATAAAAAAACTATAAAAATTTAAATGAATGACTTATTTAATGATATTCAAATTGATATTATTATTTATAATTATATTATTACTTAAAATAACTAAAAAGTCTTAAAAAAAGAGGAAAAATAAGTTGCAACTAAATTTAAATTTAGATGACAGCTACCAAACAAGCCCTTACAAGGAGAAACGCAACAAATAGTCTATACCAATATTTAGGGGCATGTGTTTATACTTCAATTAAATCATTCCATTGGCAATTTCTTATTACAAAATCTAAACGTTCATCCCAAAGAATGTTAGCATACTTCCCAATAAAAAAAATTCTTGACGAAAATGGAAGAACAATATTCGACGAAGGAATAAATTATTTAGTCACTGACGGTAAATTAGATTTTGATAAGAATGGAATGATGATTGAAGATCCAAAAGAAAACAAAAATGATAACCCTAAAACAAGTATAAAAATGAGAAATAATCAACTAATCTTAATGCATCTCTTTAATGAAATGTTTAAAAGAAAAAGTTTGGTTGATCCTAAAGTTAGGGTAGAATGCACTAAATCTGCTATTGGAACTGAAAAATTAACAAGTAAAAGACTTTCTTCTCTTCCATTTTTTGATTCTACACTAAACAAGTTTGTTTCTGAAAAAAGAGAAATTGTTGAACAAAATGTTGGAATGAAAGTACATAAATTACTTTCTACACTTTTTAAAAATGGTAATAAAATTACTACAATCTTTATTGGTAATAAAGACTGTACAAAAGGGTCTAACTTTGAAGACGCTCATGTCATTTCATTCTATGAATTTGATGAAAGGTTTCAAAGTTTAGTTCTTGATCCTCAACAACAGCAAACTTATCAACCTGAAACTATTCAAGAAAGTAGTTCTGAAATAGAAGATGATTATGACCTAAAGATAGGAGAAGTTGCTTACTCAGAATTTGATTTCTATGCCAACAATAATAAAGCAATAGAAGAAAAACACTAAAACATGTATTGTTATTATACTTCTATACGTTTATTTTTTTTAATGTTATTTTTATCGAAATTATCACATAATGGAAGAATTTATTAATAAAGTAATAATCGATGACTTACTCAAAAATATCCATTTATTATTTATTTTAACTTTTTATTATATTTTTGTTTCTTGTTTTAAATAATTATTATCTTTTCTTTTCAAAAACGAAATGATATTATAATAAATTATATTTTATTTATTTTTTTTCTGGTTTGTTTTTTTTACTCGTTAATAGAAAATAATTATTCAAGATAGAGTTGATGTTCTGTG